CCCTCTAGCCCAGCTGGGGGACACCCTGACAGGGCAGGGGGCTGTGCACGTGGGTCTGTGGCCCTGATAAGCACAGGAGGTGTGACCGATCACAGCGCAGGCTGTTACAGCCTGCACGGAGCCCTTGGCTGCCCCACCCGTGGGCATCAAAGATTGTTCTCAAACCTTCCAACTGAGTAATTCTATGGGAAAATAAAGCCCTGCTGAAATACTGACCTGTTAAAACAGCTCACCTGAAGTGTTTCTCATCATATTAAAAAAGACCAGTGGTCTGCAAGATCTATTTACCCTCTGGTCTTTCCTCAGCCTTGCCAAGAAAGGTGCAAAACAGGTCACTCTGTCAGGCAGATACTCTCAGGGTGAGAGGTGAAACCAAGAACCAGATCCACAAACCCCTACAAATCTGATATGAATAACCATCACCACAACCCAGCACAGGATTTTTGCAGGGACCTGCCCAGCAGAAGGGTGCCAGGGCCATCATGATGTTCTTACTGGGAGCTGATCACACACCCAGGGGGTGCAGCCCTGAGTAGGCCAAGTGGAATGACAACAAAGCCCATGCCAGCTGATGGGACAGCCCATTTTTAAGATGCTGCTGTCAAGAAGAATGGTTTAGCCAATGCCCAAAAGCTTATCAGTGTTGTTCGTCAGATCTTTTTGATTCCTCTTGCCTAACTTCAGCTGTCTAGAGCTTTGGTGTTCAGCTCACATTATCAGCTCATCCCTTCCCCACCTAGGAGGGACGTCTGAAGTCAGTTTTTAGCTCTCTGGACAAGCCCACCTCTCCCTTGTGTAGATGATGATCTTCCACTAGATGATTAGTTAGTTTAAGTTAGCTGGCAGGAATTAAAGCTTTCCTCTTTGGCTATTTTTTTTTTTTTTCATTGCCATTTAAAACTCACTCTGGAAAATGTTCAAAGCAGAAATACAATCTTTCTAGGGGCTGAGAAAAGCTGGTTTCCTTTCTTACAAAGAAATCTGTCTGTCACGTAAAGGAAGTTCCTGGCACATGAAGCTACTCACGGATATCTGAAGTGCAGTTTATTCTCTCCTCTCTCTGAAGCTAAAGAAGAAAAGCTGATCACTCAGGTTCCATTTTTTTTTTATCCAGACCACTGCTAACCTCCATAAAAGACCACAAACCTCATGCTGTTTTCTGTCAGTCAGCAGCAGAAAGAGTGGAAGATACCTACAGCACTGCTATTCCAGCCTGCTAGGAAAATCTTTTGTTTGCCAAGCTAGTAAATAAAAGGCAAGCACCTTTCTCCCATCAATTTATAAAAACAGCAACACCCTTCAATTTAACAGCAGCTTTTAGAACGCCGAAGAAAAGAAGTAATGAAGACTCACATAGCCCACACAAATTAAAGTCATATGAATTTTTTCATTGGCAAAACCAAAAGCTGGCGGGTGTTCTAGCCAATAAACTCCAACAGAAGACAACTTGGAAAAGAAGAGGCAAAAGCAACTCTAGTATTTATAAATAAAGGACCCCAGGACATGAGATAGAGTATGTAATTCAGGACTTCCCAGGAAAACCGAAACCAGTGAGGACCCGTAGTAACTACGTTGCAAATACTGCTGTGCAAGGTCTGTAGAAGAGGAGAACACAGCGTAGCACTGAAGTGATTGTCTGAAGGGAAACAAATCATGACAGCTTGGCCAAAATAAATGGTGGGTGAAGATTATCCTTCTGGGACATGGGGATGAGGTGGGATATATCCCACAGGAATAGGAGGCATCTCTGAGCTTTGTAAGCCATTGCACAGGGCCCTGATGAGATCTTAGAATAATACACAGAGTTGTGGTCTCCCAAATGGAAAAGGACTGCACTAGATTGGAAGAGCTGCCAGGAAGGACTGTAGGATGCCTCAGGAATCAGAACACCTATTTTGTACAGTGAGGCTAGAAAGGGAGTGGCTTGTTTACCCCAAAAAATATCACCCTTGCATAATTCCAGCAGGGCACACAAAAAGTTCCCAAACCAGCATCTATTTGCAGGAACAAAGATGAATCATCCCTGAACTGGCTCAGTCTTAAACAGAGTGTTTCATGAAATTCTGTGATGCAACATTCCCAGGTTGCATTCATCACCTAAATGATCAGCGTGGGTGCCCCACACAGGCAACGCAATCAATGGAGCACAGAAGCTTCCAGCAGCAGCTCCCAACTGCCTTTTTGTCTCCATTAGATCTGTACTTTTTTGTTAGGTAACAAAATCTGGAGGCTGCAGGGCAGGCAGTGCAAAGGTCCCATCAAAACTGCCTTTGCTGCTCCCTGTGTGGACCAACAGCCACTTTGCCACCCCTCTGCCGTACTCTGGTGGTACCACAGCAGGAGACACTCACACTGCAGCTGCTTAAACTGCTCGGTACATCAAGCCCTCTGTGCGTGGTCCTACCAGATCACTTGCAGAGCCAAGGAATTTCAAGAAGGAAGGACAGCAGATAAAACTCCAGTGCTGCAAAAACTACCATCGGTTTGGGGTAAACACCAGGACACAGGAGATCAGATTTATGCCTCTGAGGGAAAAAAAAAATTGCATGAACTAAGCAAGCCAAAGTGTCCTCACAGTTTTCTGGTTTGTGTCCTTTCAGCTCGCTGCTGGAAGTCTCTGTTCAGCTCAGTATAATTCTCTGATAGCTCCAAGACCTCTTCTCTGTTCTGTCATCATCCCTTCCTCCCCCTTCACTGCTGCTCAGAAAGCAGCCGACTGTCCTGCCTGACTTGGAGCTGCACGGCACTGCACAGCACACGCTGCCAGATCTCAAACTACTGCCTGTTCAAAACCCACCCCAGTTTGGGTCTCTTCAACCTTCCCCTGATTTTTACAAAGCTTGTAGGAACCCTGAGGATTTTAAATTTCTGAGTCTCATTTGGCTGAAAGTGGCTCCAGAAGTTCCTGCCAGACAAAAGGCAGCACCACAGTGTGTGTGTGCCTACTGCAACTCCTTAAAGGCCAGCTCTGATCCCCCAAACCAGTGTCAGTCTGTAGATAGATATGCAGACACTGGCACTGAACCCTCTCATATTTGCCCTACACATTTGATGCTTTGAGGGGGTTGAATATGTGAATTAGCTTAGGAACTTCAGTGCCAGCCCCAGGATCTCTACCTGGAAAAACATTGGAGTAAACCTATGCTCCAGAAAGAATTGTTGCATTTGTCATGAATTATTCTTCGACCTTTCTCTTTAGTTGGCTTTGCACTCCAATTAAACACAGAACAACTGTAGTGGCATGATTCACATCCAATTCCTGCTGACGTTGGAGATTATCTGAATCTTCCCAGGTGGTGCTGGAAAGCACACGGCACAGCTCAGATTGTCAAAATCAGCATCTCAGAGCAGTGCAGCTTTTGCCACAGAACTGTATGTCAATTATTCAACAAAGCAGCAATCGCAGGCAACAGCTGTCAATTCCTTTGGATAAGAACTGTCACTAGGAGAGCGATCAGTGTTGGAAAAAAAAGCATTTCTGATCAGAAAACTCAAGAGAATGCTGTTAACAGCTGCAAAGAAGAAGAATCAGCATTTCTGGGTTTCTATTTAGAGATGCCTGCACAAATGAATTAACTTGAATGAATACACCCTGATTTATGAAAGGATGTGCCAGGCCTAGTCGGTGCTGGGGCCACGAGGTCCCAGGGCCAGCCAGTGGCACACCACAAGAAATCAGCTTTACCAGCACAACCCGTGCCTCAGTGCAGAGCCTGCTGTCCCCTTATGGCTTCAAGGCCAGATCTGTTGTCCCGTGGCAGTGCACAGGACCACACTCGAGGAAAGCCCTGCAAAGGCAGCAGCTGAACCCCAGCAAGGCAGTGAGCACGGTAGGAAACACTGCTGGGACCATTTGAAGCCGGTTTTGTAGCATGAAGGGACTCGTGCTGTTCTAAGCAGCCGTGACCTTGGTCCAAAAAGTGCATGTGACTTACCACCCAAACCCACCTGTCCCTCCAGTCCTGGGGACAGTATAGGTTGGGTCACCCAGGCTTTTAGGGACTGTGTCACAGAGGCATTCAGCCTTTCTCCATTTCTGCAGGTGGGTGTAGCTCTACACTACAGCTCCGAAGCTGCGTAAATCCAATGTAAATGTTGTGACTTGGACGTTATCCAGCTCTTTTCAGTGGCAACTCCAGGACACTCAGCAAATCCTATTTTTAATTACATGAAAAATTGTTATCCTCACATACCATATGAAATGTGTTTTCCTTCTGTCCCTCAATTTTTTAAGACTGTCACATCTTCCTTCCATTTGTCTCCACCCAGATGAAGTGTTGTAAAGGCTGTTTCTGTGCAAGTTTGTGTGAATGGGCTGTACATACCCAAAGAGGAGGACGAAGAAACAGTTGTTGGAGAACAGCAGGAAAGCACAGGTGGGAAGGCAGAGTGTGAAAGTCTGCGCGGGACTCTGGAGCTATGGAAACCACTCGGACTGAGAGTCTTAGAGTGCCCAGAGCCCGCCCGGCGCAGCCCCCGCCGCCTCCCAGACACCGGCACGGACACGGCCGAGGAGCGGCAGCCAAGGCGGGCACAGGACACGGCCCTGTGAACACCCGGGGAAGTGAAGAACGGGGGGCTTCCCACACAGCTCAGAAGGCACCGAACCGCCCCGTCCACCCCGCCCGCAGCCCCCGCCCTGCCCCGCCGGGCAGGCTGAGCACCCACACGGACAGGGGCTCCGGGGCAGCGCCGCCACCCACAGGCACCTCGGACCCGCGGGCGGGAGGAGCGTGCCGGGAGGAGCCGATGGCACTCGAGGACAGCCACAGGACTGTGGTGGGGCCGAGGAGCGGCAGCGCCGGGCACGGCTGAGGGGAGCGGGACCCCCGCCCGGGACCCGCGCTCACCGCGGCCTTCGCGCTCCGGCTAAGTTAATCCCCCTGCTGCCGCCGTAGCCCCGAGCGGTGGTGGGAGGCGGCGGCGCGGTGCCTGCCGGGACATGTAGTGTGTGCGGGCGGGCCGTGCATTGGCGGCGCGTTCCCCGGCGCCGCCCGGGAACTACGGGCGGCGGGGCGCGCGCAGGCATGGCGGCCCCCTTGGTGCTGGTGGTGCTGGCGGCCGTCACGGTCCGCGCCGCGCTCTTCCGCTCCAGCCTCGCCGCCTTCATCGCCGAGCGCGTCGAGGTGGCGTCCCCGCTGAACGCCTGGAAGCGAGGTGAGCCCCGGCGAGACTCCGCCGAGGGGCCGGGCGGCGGGACCCCCGCGCCGGGCGGGCAGGGCCTGGCCCCGGCCGGGCGCCGCGCCGTGAGCGGCCCCGCGGGGACAGCACCGGGCTGTGCCCCGGGCAGGGCCGAGCCCCGCTCGTCCGGGCCCGAACCGGAGCTGCAGGGAAAGGCCCCGGGCAGCCGTGCCCGGTGCGAGGGGCGCGGGGCCGGCGGCGGGCCGGGCTGCGCTGGGCACACGTGGGTGGACACACCGCTTGTGTCACGCGTGGGGTTCCAGCAGCCTCGACCGAGCCGCTGTGGTGGGGCTGTCTCTGCACAGACATCGTGTCTCGGTGTGAGTGCCACTGCGCGGCTCCCGGTCCCTGCAGGGCTGCTGTCGTGTTCCGGGGTCAGTCAGCTACCAACACGATTCAAATTCTCTTCTGAAGGCTGAGGTACAGGGTAATTGGGGCTCTTCAGTGACATTCATGTCTGTAGCTTCTAAACCTGTTAGGAACCTTAATTCATTTAAAAGACATCCCTTCGAGGAAATAATACCCAGCTATTATACAGGTAAAAGTATTTGCAGTTCTGGGGTGGAAAAGAATGGCTCAGAGTAATAAAGGTTAAGAGTACAGATACATTTCATGACCTGAGGCCTCTGCTCCTCTGTATGAAGCACTTCACACAACTGAACTTTTTAATCTTGCCTTAGACCATCAAGGTAGGCATCTAGGTAGTAAGGAGACCACTTAAGGTCACTTCAAAGTCTGGGCTGTCACCACACAGGGAGTTTGTGGCAGCCAGAATCTACTTGTCCAGCATTTCACTGAACTGAGGCCTCCTATTGCTTCTTGCAATCTCCTTTTCCCTCTGAGCAAATGGACCCGTTTCCCTTGGCTCCTTTCACTGCACACCCTGCTCAGCCCCAGGGAACCTTTGTGCTCAGGAAGGTGAAGATCCTATGGAAAAGCATGTGCATGCATTGCAGGGCAAGCTGTAATTCCATGATCTTGAGGGAGGCAGATTAAGGCTGTAAAATGTATTTTCAACAAGGAATTTTCAACAACAGATAAACCTTTCAGCTTTGCATGGTGATATGTGTTCATTTCTGTTCTTCCATTGTAATTTTGGACATTTTAGGCCTCTCTACATCTAATGAGAGAAAACAGTTCAAATTCTATATTATGTTGTGATTTATTCTCATAGAATTAAGTCTTTTTCCATCATAGATGTCACGTGTCACCAAATAGGTGACTTAAAATCAGGCAATATCATACATGGGATTTATATATAGAGTTCAGTGTAAAACATTTCAGCTAGAACATTTTTAGCTGAAACAAATAAATAGGTTATGAGTGCCTATGCAGGAATGTGTGGGTGTTTTAAAAGCTGCAGTTTTGCCATCGTGAGATCTCTCCCTTCCCACATCAAAGGGTTCTAACGCAGGTGTTTTGTCTGTGTTTCAGTGGTCGAAGGATTGGCTCTGCTGGATTTAGGGGTCTCGCCGTATTCTGGAGCTATTTTTCATGAGGTTGGTTTGCATGCTTTGTTTTAAATGGGATAGTCAAGTGGCACAGGTCTTGCAGCTCACGGCCTGTCTTGTCCCAAAGGCTTTAGAGAACCTCAGCTCATGTAGTTATTGTGCAATAGTTGTGAGCAGCATGAGGAAATGCAGTTAATCACAGAGTATCTCTCTGTGCAGGTGATAGATATCACAATATTTGCTACTGCACATAGAAAGTCTGAGGCAGGGGAGCTCTGTAATAAGGGAAACATTGTGTTCACATGCAGATGTTTCTGTGGACAGAAGCTGGAGCAGGGAGACACTGTCACTGTGAGTCTGATACCGTGCACTGGGTAACAGTAGCTGGAGTTTCTGCATTTGCAGAAATATTAAGACTAGCACCAGCATGCAGTTTATTTATTCCTCATCTTGAAAATGCCTCAATCCTAATGAGGAATGAGGCATTTTGACTTAAGCACCTGTGGGGGTTTGTTTGCTCAAGTGGTCTTACTGATGTGAAGGAACACTCACACACAGTGTCACCTGGGTACTTTGTATCCTTCTGAAAACTGGTTTCTTTTCAATAAATTCTCCTTCTCTAGATACAGTTTTCTCCCAGACTGTGAAATACTTTCCCATGCTTATTTAGACATTATTTATAAAGTATTTTAAAAGAAATCTATTTTCTCACAATGAAGACTGAATTTACAGCATGTAAATATATTATTTCCAGATTGAGCTTTTGTGCAATAGGAATAATTCAGAAACATACTTTTCCTCTTACTCTAGAAGGGAAAAGCTGTGGGAGGACTAATAGGACTGTAATCCTACTGCTTTATATTTTTAACATCTTTCTTATTTTCACATTATACAACATTCATCTAAACAACAGGCTCAGCGGTGAAATCAGCTATGCAGGAAATCTTTCAAAAGTACCTGCAGACATCCTGAAAAAAATAGATTCTATAGGAAAAAAAATCATTTTCTAAAGCTGGTTTTTTTATGCTTTCTATTGTAAGTCTCTCACTAGTAGCAGAATTGAAAAGTTGGAATAGAATACAACTTTCAAAGTTGATGGTGTCTTTAATAAAGTGTATTGAGGACTCTGCAAGGAATAAGGCCAGCAAAAGTGCTTTGAATAATCACTTAGCTCTGAATACCAGTGTTGGAGAAGAGGCCAAAGAAAATTACTTTTGGCAGTGTCTTGTAGTACAAAGTTTTTCTCATCAAATTAATGATGTATTTTATTTGGACAGTATTTGATGTGAATTTCCCTTCCATTCTCTTTTAGACCCCACTGATAATCTATCTCTTTCACTTCCTGATTGAATATGCTGAACTGGTGTTCATGGTAAGTGCTCCTGGAAAGCTCCTCTTGAAAGGCCCCTTTCAGGGAAATGCTGAGTGTGACTTTCAGTCCTGCAGGAATCGGGGACCTTCATCCTCCCTGCAGCTCAGATTCCTGCTGAGCTCACATTTAATTAGAAAGACAGCTTTGCCTGTACAAACCCACTATTCAGGCTCTTCACTTCTTGTACATATTCCTTCTTTTTTGTGAGTTCTTGCCTAGATAAGTATCCCCACAGAGGGATAGGAAGGTGTCATTTTATTTCAGATTTCAAAGGTTACCTCTTACAGGTAACAAAATACTTTGTCCTCCCAGCCTAATCCTTACGCTGCTGTTTCTCACTAAACCCTCTGCCTTCAAAGAGCATAAATGGGTACATCCTCCAAATGTCTCTTGTAAATTGTTCTCCAAGTTCTGCATAGTTCAGGACAGAAATCCTATAACTGGCTGCACATGGCACCCAGTGGAGCTCTGTCCCCATGTCCCTGCCAGGCAGGGCTTGTGCAGAGATAACAGCCTTCTGCCCTGGGCTAGTGCTGGTTGTTCAGATGACTGTGCTGCTGCCTCAGAAGTTTAGGACAGCTCAAGGCACTGCTGGATTAATGGCCAGAGGGGTTTAACCAGCTGGGCACTGCCCCAGCGTTGCCTGTGCTCCAACTAGACCAGTGATTCTCTCATCACCCTCACTTGCTTCAATTTCTTTCCTCTTAATTCCCCACTCTCTTGTTTTGTAAGTATTTGGTACAGTTCATGCTTGCAAGGTGAACCCGTGGTGTGTGAGGGCACTGTACAAATCAGCAATCCAGTGTTTTTAAAACTTGCATCTTCTTCCCATAAGCTGAGTCAGATTAGCCTCCTTATTCACTACTGACCAATATCTTTTCCTCCATTTCTTTATTTTGCTTACAATCAGTCTGTCTATCCCTTGCTTTTTTAGATAACTGATGTGCTAACTGCTGTTGCCCTTTACTTGGCCATCCAGGACTTCAACAAAGTTGTGGTAAGCTAACTGATCATGTTTTAATGATAAACAAACATGAGGACTCAATGTGATAAACAACTGAGGTGTTTTAAGTTTTGTTGTGGCACTATTATCGTATGAAACACGCACTGCATGTGAATGAGGATCACAGTAGTGTACAATCTTCTACAGCCTGAATGTTTTACCTTGGAGAGGGTCTCTTTGTACACAGCATGAAGTAATACACAGACTAGAAATGTGTAAAAGAAGAAATAAAACGTCCGAGGATGCTGAGGTGACATAAATCATTCTAGTGAGCATGGTGAGAGTCTGACACCAAGTATTACTCGTTCCCTTCAAATTATGTGTATTTGGAGGTGAATGATTCCTCCCAGCTCTTTCTCATAAGTAGCTCAAAGAACATTTTGTGTAAGCAGTGCTGTGCTCTCAGCAATTCCAGAGGGGCAGGGATTCACTATCAGCATCAACAGGGAGGCTACATTTTCTACAGCATCTGTGTGGTCTCCCATCCAGCTATGTGCTTGTTCCTTGTCCTCTGAGGTTGAAGAAATAACTCACAGTAGAAATGCAGACATGTAAAAATCCCACATGTGAGTTACTTGCTTGTTGAGAAATTGTTGCCAGCATCTCTGTCTTCCTGTCTCACCATGACATAGTTCCATAGATTCAGATTTCAAATTTCTCTCTTGTCTCCATGGAGAGCCTCATAGAACAAGATAGTTGAAAGAGAGATTTAGTCTAGAGGTATCCATCTTCAAAATAACAAAGACTGCATACTTCTGAGTCTTGGGGTTTCAGTGGCTTGTGTGTTGAACAGTGAATTTTAAAAGGTCAGCTTTTCATTAGAGATCCAGACTGGCATTAGGAAGATTGAGAGTATTCAACTCTAGTGTGGTGAATTCACTGTCAGCTGTGTCAAGAACTAGACACAGGTAACTAAGTTCAAATAAGTAGACATCTGCCTTCTCTTGAGTCTCACTTCAGTTGTTGAGTATTTGGGAAAGGAGAGGGTGTTTTGCTCTGTTTCTACAACTCCTCACATGATTCAAGTTTTGGCTCACACTTGAGGCTCGGGTATGCTCTGCAGTAATAGAAACCCCAAGTAATTGACTGAGTAATATGAAATAGAATTACACAAGTAATATGAAACCGTGGCTTTCCTCTCCTGACAGTCTTTGATCATTCTCCCTTGTTCAGTTCAAAAAGCAGAAGCTCCTAATAGAGCTGGATAAGTATGCACCAGATGTGGCTGAGCTCATCCAGACACCCATGGAGATGCACTACATCCCCCTCAAGGTAGCACTGTTGTAAGTATTGCTCTTGGGGGCTGCTTTGGTTCCTCAGCTCCCTTTGGGTTTTATTTTTCTCATTTGGGTCTTGAAGGTTGTTTTTTTTCCCCCGGAAATTCTGAATTTCCTATTGGCCCTGAATACTCAGCTAGAAAGTGAAAAGCAGATGCATTTGCACATGTTTATTGCCAGCAAGTGAATTTACTCAGATCCTCCAAGAAAGGCTCAACAGCATAAGGTCATTAATTTGTTTGCAAGAATGTTGTGTCTGCACAGGTCACATCCCCATTTATTTTACTTGTATGCTAATGTTACCAAAATTGATTCTATGCCTTCCAAATGGTGTCTTTTCAGAAAAATTAGAATTTTTGAGCAGTTGGACAAAATGCATGCTGAATATCACAAGCTGAATATCCCAAATTGCTTTTTAAGGTTCAAAGATATTTTCAGGTTGCCATCTTAATAATTTCATGTCTTGGTGTTCCCCTGTATACTAAACATTTTCTTATTTCAGAAGATTTCAACTAAAATAAATCACATACAAGCAAGATACCTACTGTTAAAGAATTTTTTTTATTGGTGTTTTGACACAGAGAAATTATCTGAATTATTCTGTGTCAGAGAGAGTTCTCCATTAGATAAGGTTTTATTTTTTCTCATTTTCTCATGAATTTATTTAAATGTCAAATTCCCTATGGCAAGAAGGGTAGAATGGGTAAATTGCAGTCTGTTTTGCTCGTTACCACAGCAAAGCTGGCATTAAATTGTACCTGTCTTGCTGTAGGCTGGCCCTGTAAAAACACTGAAAAAGACAGACTGAAGCTCAGAGAAGTAGGAAAATACAAAGAGACAATTAGGAAATCATTAGCCCTGTCTACTCACTCTGATGATTAATTTAGTTATTAGCAAAGCTGATGGGTACATTCAGGTTATTGTATTAGCTTATTGTATTGGTAGTCCTTCCAAACCTTTCTCTTGCTCTGAACCTAGTTAAATGAAATTACTGTAGTTCTTGCTTCCAAAGGCAGCTGGCATCCTTGCCAGCTGGAGTGTGGCTGCATTCTGGAGGGTAAAGGTGTTCAGAGTATGCCCTCTTTCTATAAATGCAGTTGAAATGTGACAAACTTGAATAGCTGGTGGGTTTTGTGCTCACATTGGGCCACAGTGAATATAAATGATTGCTCTGCCACAGCAGGAGACTGGTGCACTTGGATTGGGGGAAACTCTACTCCAGTCTCAGAATTTTTTTCCATCTTACCTTGTACTTCTTCAGAGTAGATGTGAGTAGCAGAAAAAGTTTGCTCTGGACCCAATAATCTTAGATCTGGCTGAATAAATATACAATGTTTCTGCAAAGCAAGAAACACTTTTGGTAGTTGGTTTCTAGGCTGGAACTTGCATTTTGGAGGTCTTCCCAACTCTCCTTTCTGCAGTAGACTCCCTGTGGCCAGTGTGTCCAGGGCTGCAATCCAAAGGTCTGGGTTTTGCTCCAGATTGAAGAACCTGTTCAGCTGAGTTAATTTGCTGATGAGAGGATCCCAACTGTAAATAAAGTGCATCTGTTTTTATTTTGAACATCTCTTTAATTAGATGCTGTCTCCTTTGCATGTAACCTGAGCTTTGCTCTTTTTCAGCTACCTGTTAAACCCCTACTCTGTGATGTCTTGTGTGGCAAAGTCCACCTCCGCCATCAACAACTCTGTCATTGCATTCTTCATTTTAGCTACAATAAAAGGTAACACAACAAAGAAAAAAGGGTTCTTTATGACTTTCTAGGAAGATTGTAAATGTAGCAAAAATTAAATCCAGGTGGAATTTTACAGATAAGGTTGCTACAAAGATCTCAGTGAAACCCAGCAGAAACAGGACTGGAGCAAAGTCAGAGTTCTACCTGAAATCATGAGATCAAGAGACTTTATAGTTAAGTGAAAACTTACTTTAACCTCAGTGCACCCGGGAGTTTCATCTCTAAAAACTGACTCATTTTCCTGGATAGCTTCAAATAGTTTTCTGTTCAGGAAGAAATGTGTCTGTGTATTGGAGGACATAATGCTCTGGGTCTGTGTATTGGAGGACATAATGCTCTGTTGCTCTTTTTTTGTACATGAATATGCACTTAAAGTGTTGTGCACAATTTATTTTCAAAGTTTATCTGGGAACTTTCGTTCAAAAGCAAACATTTGCCTGCAGCTGTGATTTGGCTTTCATTCACAGTTGTAAATGTGGTTTGAAATTCACTAATTGAGCTTTGGGGAAACAGAAGCAGTAACCAAAGGCCTGTACCAGCACAGCTGAATAGATTATGTCAGAGTAACTGTTTCATTCATCTCGTACATAACACCAGCTTTCTGTTTCTTTTATGACTCTCCAGTGCTAAAATCTTTTAGCATATGTGATTTGTACTAGTCACCTAATTTTAGGAGTTCTCTGCTGGACTAGAGGAAAGGTCACTCTGATCTCGTCTCCAGCAGGGCCCAGACCCAGGCACTGTGAAAAAAAGCTGATATAGATGGTCTTTATTAGTGTTCCCAAAAGGAAGTTTTCCTCTCATTATTGGCCGGTTGAGTCAGGAGGGACTTCCATTTAAAAAATATTTGCAATAGCAAACCTGTGGGGTCTGTTTAGTTAAACGGATTTTTAACTGGTCACGGGTACCCTAAGACCAGTACTTTGGTCATAGACAAAACTGTAGTGGCTGTCTCTTGTGGTTTCTCCCTGACTGGGAATGTGGCCATCTGGGCTTTAAAGTGGACAAAGAGGATATCAGGCTATGACTCTGATTTCTGGGAATCAATTCTTTAGATCTGTGCGGAATTGAGCACTCAATAAAGTAGAGGACAGGGAGGTTTCTGTCAGGAGAGTGTAGTTGGAGAGTGGAGAAGGCTCATCACCAGGTAACCCTCTATTTTCTCTTTCAAAGGTGAGACAGAGAGAAGCTCTCTGAGTGTGTGATGTCAGGCTGGCAGTTGGGCCAGTGTACTGAGTTAGGATTCTTCCTGTCTAAGCTGCATTTTTATGGATTCCTTCCATCTAGTCTGTAGCTGTAACCAGGCTTGTATTTTTGTTGTTTAACTTGGGACCTTTTGGACTTGATTTCTGATGTTGGCAGGTGGGAAATGTAAGTATTCAACACTGAGCTCAGCCTGAGACACCTCAAATAAAGCTGCTTCAGTGAAAGCATTCATATATTTGAAACCACTTGTGAGAGCTGTGCTGATCCTTTCTGTGCCTCAGTTTTGGCTAATGCCACTTCATTTCTTCAGCTGCAGACTTTCTCTTGCTCTCTGGCTCAGAGCTTTGCTGAGGCCCTGACACATTCTGGTGTTGAGGTTATCCAGCATGCCCAGTGTAACAGCTCTGACATGCAGATATGACATTAACAGCAGCCAGCATGGTCTTTATATAGACTGAATTACATTGATCTCTTTCTGTATGTGAATGCCAGGAGATACAAACCAGTCAGTGGTTCCTTCATGTGGAATCAGTCATTCTCCATTCAAAATGTAGTTAACAAGAGGACACTCTCCAGGATACATTCTGCTAAAAGATCCTTTAAGTGGTGTCCTGATAACTGTGAATCCCCTGCAGTTGGTTTTGTATTTCTTCCCATTTGGACTTCCTGTCTGTATGGCTGTTAATAGTAAATGTTCCTTACAAATGAACATGTTTTGTCTTTGCAGGTAGTGCCTTCCTCAGTGCTGTGTTCCTGGCCTTAGCAACATACCAGTCACTCTACCCTCTCACACTGTTTGCTCCAGCCCTTCTTTACCTTCTGCAGGTAGGTGACTTCTAACTTTGGTACCCATTGTCTTCTTGTAGCTGTTCAGGGACAGTCCTTGGGTATTGAGAGGGGAGCCAGGCAAATGCAGAGTTTCAGGAAAAGTGACTGTCCTCAAGCCATGGCAAGTTTGAAACCTTAATGGGAATGCCTGTGAGTGGAGAGAAGGGAGCAGGAAGTCACCTACAGAACTTGCCCAAATTGAGTCCTATTCTTTGTGTCATGTGAATAGAAATGAGGGGTTCAGAGCTGAAGTTCCTTTGCACCGACACAGATCCCTGAGCTGTGTTAGCATGAGGAGCTGTGTGTTTGAATTGCTCAAACTCAGAAATGCTGATTTGGGGTTTAGTGGCAAAAGGCATGTGCTTGTGAAAGACTGGTTGTTCTTTCTCCCTCTCCGTTAACAGGACCCCCGAATTCCAGCAGGGCTCACCTTGCTAATTTAGTTCTAGTGTGGGAGCAAGGTGAGGCTGTGACCCCCAGCAGAGCCCACTTCACAAGTCACTTTGAGATCATTTTTGTTATTCCTGATGTTCTGAAATCCTGCTGTTGTGTGTTTCACCAGTCTTTCTTGGTTGCTTCTGATGATGATTTTTATAGCTAATCTTAACTACAGGTTCATTACAGCATATTCTTTCCCTGATTTTTAGCAGAGCAGGAGTGCCAAGCCGGGTGGTGGAGACCATCACCACGGGATGGTGGATCATGGAGCAGGGCTTTCAGTCAGCCTGTTGAATGGGTTCATGCAGTAGGAGACAGGCAGCAGTGCAGTATTGCAGACATGTCAGATACAAGTGTAGCTCTGAGGAGCTGTGTGTACATTGTACACAGAGTGCAGGAGAATGAGACACGACTGCAAGGAGAAATCACCAGCTTTGCTGCTGGGTTGTCAAGCACAGTTCTGGAAACACGTGCAACGACTTAGTTGGCCAGAGTGAAGAACATCAAGCAAACTGTACTTGAGGGCTGTTCCTTCCAGTGCCCTGGTGCCAGTGTTTGATGGTTTCTTTGATGGATTTCAGATGATGTGCTGGACACTCAGGCTTTCTTGTGACTCTCCCCCTGACAAGGTGCTTCTGTTTCACTTTTAGCGTCAGTTCATACCCATCAAACTGAAAAGCAAAAGCTTCTGGCTCTACACCATGCAGTATGCATCCCTGTACCTGTGCAGCCTGGTGGTGATCATCTGCCTCTCCTTCTTCCTCCTCAACTCCTGGGATTTTATCCCATCTGTTTACGGGTTTATGTGAGTATAAAGATTCTTACTGGTGGTGTTCTGTCTGGCTCCCCCCTCATGTTGTTTCTTGTCCATCACACAAGTGCCCCACTGCCTGACCCAAGAAGTGTGAGATCTGTGATTTACTGGCAATGCAATAAAAGAAAGAATATGTGGAGGAGAGCAGCCAACTTCTGTTAATCAACAGCAAAAGTTAAAGACAGGAGGTGTTTTTCACTGAGTTGATCAGAAATAGATTTCACTGTTGAGCTACATGGTAGCTGTGAAATTTTTGTCTCTGGAGAAATGTCTGGTTTGGAATGGTTTAAATCCTGCTGGGGCATTGGGAAGGATTCACCAGAGGATTTAAACCTGCTCTCCACATTTTGTCACCCCTTTGTTTTCTCTTCCATAGGTTTACAATTTAGGTCCTTCATCCAGTAGCATAAAATGATTAATTAATGTAACAGAAGCAGGGCAGTGGAAAACAACCATTTAAAAATTTACCATGACTTTTCTTTTCAAATTTCAGCCTTTCTGTTCCAGATCTGACACCCAATATTGGCCTTTTCTGGTACTTCTTTGCAGAGATGTTTGAACACTTCAGTCTTTTCTTCGTATGTGTGTTTCAAATCAATGTGTTCTTCTACACCATTCCCTTGGCAATAAAGCTAAAGTAAGTATGAATGTGTTCTCTGCTACTTTTGTAACTCCTAAGTTGTCCAGTGGGACCTTATAATGCTGGAGTCAGATGTCTCTATCTGCAAACCCGAAAAAGATTTTTAAGAGGGTCTGCCCTCCTCATATCCCATAGTTTCAGTGTCTGTTCCTCTTCAATAGACTTGGTCTCTTCAATAGCAAAATGTGTTGCAAGCATCAAAAGAGAGAGCAGAAATTGAGGCTGTAGAGGTGCCTGCTCCCTGCCAGCATAAACCAGTGTAGTCAGAAAGCAAGAACTCCTGACTGGAACTTGGAGTTCTTTGTCAGAAAAAAAGTGACAATTTGGGGCTGACTGTACTGACAACGTTAACCTTTCTGCTAAAAACACCCATTAACACACCTGGACTCTCAGTGAATGGAATGTTTTCCCATGAAATGGATACAGACATCATGGTGTACCAGTGAGATAACTCTGGGCTTCTCCAAATCACCGTCAGAGGGGAAATGCTGATTGCGTTTGGTGAGTAAGGCAGAGCTGGGGAGGAGCAGTGCAGGTGACTGGTGGTATAAACGTGTGTTGAGTGAGGCCCACGGTTTCTGGGTGAGGGCAGTGGCCAGATGTGCCTCCCCTGACACTGCTACTCTGCAGAGCAGCTCCATCTGCCCCACTCGGCACTCAGAGTCTTGTCTGGAGAGAACAGGCGTGTGAGCCCCACAGAGTCTCCTCCATGGGAGGTGTGCTCCCACGGCACATCTGCACCCTTGCCCGTGCTTATTTCCAGTTCCCAGAGACCTGCTGCATCCTCTTACCCTTTGTTTCTTTTCCCTTCCAGGGAGCACCCCATGTTCTTCATGTTTGTCCAGATCGCCATCATTTCCATCTTCAAGTCCTATCCCACTGTGGGAGACGTTGCACTGTACATGGCCTTCCTTCCAGTCTGGAGCCACCTTTACAGATGTAAGTCCTTTGTGCTTGGTTATTCCTTATCTGGAATGGGAAAGGGCCTGCAAAATAATTGTCACCACTAAACCAAACCAGGCCCTTGCCCACAGGCTCTCATGGCCTCCTTGGGATGGCTGGAAGGAGGCTTTATTATTTTTTTTTCAGATGATACAGCCCCTAACATGTCTTTAGGACTAGGGTTGAAATTGGTCAAGAAGTACCTTGTCTTCTAAGGGTAGTAAGGAGTACTCCTTATTTCTACTAAGGAGTACCTTATGAATATCTTCCCCCTCTCTCCAAGTTGTTCTGAAGATTAACTTTTTTATAAAAGCCTTTCACAGTCCTGTACAATGGATATGGCTTATTTGAAGTGCATCCATCGTCCACATGTTTCACTCCCATTTAAGGCTGTGTAATTTGAACAGTGCTCCTGCAACTGTTGAGTCCCCTAGCCTTAAAATGCTGCACCTTGCAGTGGTTCTTTGTTTTGCATCTGCTTGTTTGCTTTGAGTGAAAGTAACTGAACTACTCCGAGCAGTTGTCCAGTTTTTCTTAAATGCTGCTTAAAGACCCTTTTGAACTCTTGAAATCACCAGAGAGTTGCCTGAGGGTTTTCAGGCTCAGTCTCCTGAAAATCACCCTGGGGAGATTTGGAAGTGCTATGTTTTTACTGGTGTTTCTTGCTTAAACCAGCTGGTTTGACCAACCCTGCCAGGTTGTCCAGGCCTTTTACTGCAGCCTTCTCCAAGCCAGGCCAAGTGTGTTCATGGGCAGCTCACCTGCCTGTTGTAGGAGACATAAGCAGGGGTCAGCTTTTGAGATCTTCTGCTCCAGGTTTCAGACTCAGGAGAGCTGGGGCCAAAGCAGCTGTGATCAGACAGGGCAGGAAGCCCCAGGCTGCCCCTGAACACATTGCAGTTGTAGCAGGTGATGTACTTCTGAGAAGTCCTCCCTCAGTGTAGTTCAGTTGCACATTCCAAGCATCCAGTGAGAGAGACAGTCATCTGTCACACACTTCCACCCCAGCGTGTGTGACCAGACCTACTGACCAAGAAGTTTAAAAGAGGTGTGAAATGTTTGGATGTGACAATGCTCTTAAAACATCAGCTGCCTTCAGCTGCAGAGTGATGGGGAGTCTTTAGTCTCCTTCAGGGGCACTGACTGAACTGTAGCCAAGCACCAGCAGCACAAGTGCAGGATGGATTACAACACTGCTGCCGAAGGATAGGCATAAGCAGTTCACAGAAAACAAAATCACTTCTGGTCTAGTAGTTCCCAGCTCTTTTAGACAAGGTTGTGCTTGTATTTTGTCCACCTGACACATACTCTGGCAGACTGATGGATTTTGGCCACATGTGCACCTCCCAAGGTCATGTTTGTTAATGCATTTGGCCTGTAGGAGTTTCCTCCTTTTATGGAGCTTTCATTTCCTTACCAACTCCCAAGGAAAATCTCTCTTTTCTTATGGCCCACGGGTTCATTTTTTCCTTTGTCATCAGCTTGATGAGGCTGTGGATTGACGTGGCTTGCTCTCCGAATTGTGATGCTGCTGGAAAGGCCCCTCTCCGTTCTGCTGGTTGTTGTAGTGTAGACACCAAAAAGCCAAAATATCCGAGGAAGAGTGTTTGGAAGCAGGACCTAGAAGGAAAGAGCTACAAGGGAGAATTTCACATTGAAGCAAAGGCAGAAGTATTTATTTTAAAGAGAAATATAGTGGATTTCTTATAAAAGCTACCCAGGAAGTTATTAGAGCAAATTGTGAAAGATTATTGGAGAGAAGTATGTGTTGGCAAGTGCCTCTCACCCCCTGCACACACCCTAAATACCGCTGCTGGTTGTGTGAGCATGGCTGCTCAATAATACATTCTTTTAACAGCTTGGTTTTCTTTTGCAGTCCTCCGGAACATCTTCATCCTGTCCTGTGTGCTCATCTTCTGCTCCTTCCTGTTCCCCGTTCTGTGGCATCTATGGATTTATGCAGGAAGTGCCAACTCTAATTTTTATTATGCCATCACACTGACTTTCAACATAGGGCAGGTCAGTAAAGCGAGGCCATCGAGGCTGCGCTGCAGGTGGGGAGCTGGATGGGGTGGCCTGTCAGCCACAGTGAGTTCTGCAGGACGTGGCTGGCTCTCTCTGTGGTCCTGCATAGCAGCTTCCTGGCTCTCCTCCTGGAATCTACCTGCTCCTCACGCTCTGGCACACTACTGGGAAAGAGTTCTGGTGGTATTTGAGCTGTAGTTTAATAATCCAGCCAGACTGTGCTGCAGGTTCCATGCTCTGTTGCTGATAGCAGAGGAAGAGCATCTCAGTATGGCAGAGCACAGCACACGTGAATGGAGAAGGAGAGTAAGAGGGGGAATGGAAAAGCCTCGGGGCAGCAGCAGTGGGGCCAGAAAACAGGCAAATGAGAGCAGCCCATGCACAGGGACATGGCACCAGCTGTGGGCTTAGGGGCATGTGTAGGGTCGCAGCGATGCCAGGGCTTGCCCTCCCTGCCTTTCTCGAGGCTGTTCTGGATACATGACTGCCACTGGCCTTAGGCACCCTTGAAGAATGGAACTGAGTGTTCACAGGTGCTACAACCTTTTGTAAGTCCTTCCTCTGTGCTGCTTGTCATGTCCCTGAGCCCTGGGACAGTTTCACGTATGGGTGAGCAGAATGTTCATTTCATGTTAAAGTTGCCTTTATTTTGAGTGTGCCTCAGCCATTTATGCTTGTCTGCTTCTCCTAAAGCCAGGGGAGCAGTTTGGCCAGGGGCTGAAAATTACCCACTTGTATATCCCCAACCCCTTGATAAATGGGGAAAATACCCATTTGGTAAAAGCCAAAAAAAACTCCAAGGAGTGAGAGGGAGAATGGAGATACTGCTGAGAGGGGCTGATTGGAAATTGGGAGTGGTTCATTAGCTCCCTAACTACATGTCTTGCTATGGAATGAAAGAAATAATAAAACTTTAATTAGAGATGCCAGGCGTCAATATTCTAAGAGGATTTTATTTTCTACCTGAGGAAGTCAGCAGATCCTGCAAGGTCTTGTGCTCTGTGTAAATGCAAACAGAGCAAAAATATCATTTCTGATTTCCTTATGAGAAAGACCTATCCCTCATCCCCACCAACCTCAGCTCTTTCTTTTCCCATTCAGACATCTGCAGAGAAGTTTAGTTAAAAGTAAAATCACCTGCACTGACAGGGCCTGTCAGTAGTTCAGCTCCTCTGGTGGAGCTTGCTGGACAGCCTAGGAACTGCTTATACCCCTTACACAGATTACACCCTCTTTATTCCTTGGTCTGAAGCACCACTGATGTGTCTGAACATCTCCCTCCACAGATCCTGCTCATCTCGGATTATTTCTATGCCTTCCTCCGGCGTGAATACTACCTCACTCATGGACTGCACTTGACAAGGCAGGATGGGACAGAGGCCATGCTGGTTCTGAAATAAGGATTTGCCCACCTTTCCCTGGGACATGGACCACTATGAGGAACATGCAGAGCTTGGGGTATCTGGGGTGGGTGGGGAAGTTTCCCTGAATGAGGTCTGACTTTGGGGATGATACCTACTGAAAGAAAGGGCTGAGGTTCTGGGAATATCCTGCTGAGCTGTGGGCTCAGCACAGAGACTGTAAGAGCTGCGGTGCCTCTGTTGGAGCATCTCCCTCCCCTCAGCTGTGCTTTTCACTGCGACCTCAGCCATGAACTCTGGGCAGCCCAGCAGGAACTGGAGAGTGTCTGAGCTAAAGCCACGAGGGTCCAGGAGGAGCTCAGACTGTGAACTGTTTACTTTTGCATCACTGCTTCTTGGAGATGTTTGCTTCTCCTGGAACCTTCCCCTTCACTGCTTTGACTAGTAAAACTCCTGCTTGGCACGAGGCAATCTCTGGGTACCTGGTGCCCGAGCCCGGGCTGTGGAAGCCATTTCTTGGTGGTCCTACTGCTGTAGGATCTGGAAAAATCCCACGTGCTCAGGTACAGTGGGTGCTGTGAAAGAGATGGGTGACCAAGGATAATGACCTGTTGGAAGGAGGACAAATGGAGCTGGTGCCACAGGTGGTAACCTCGGCACTCAAACACAAGTGAGAACTGGAGTTGGGGTGGAAGCAGGAGCCGGGGGGAGGGCACTGGGTAACTGCTCTATCCCACTGGAGCAACACAGACATTTCCATGTTAGGACCACGCACAGAGGCATTGCAGGTCTCAAAAGAAATACTCCTGAGGAGATGGAGTCCCACTGCTCCCGGTTTCTGTTGGGTGACAAAGCCTGGCAGTGCCAGGCTCACACTGTGCTGCTGTGGCCACTCAAGGCAGCAGCCTGGACTAGGGACCAGGGAGGGTCACAATCTCCCTGTAAGGCCCCAGACCAAATCCAGGAGGAGCCTCAGTCACTGCTGGTATTGTTGGGTTCCTCGTGTTCCACAGCTGCTTAACACTCGTGGATGTGCACTTCTCTGGTCCCCCTTGCTGTGGGCTCGTGGCTGTGTGTGGAGGCTCCCTGAAATCAGCGTCCCTTTGTCCTCCCTGCTCCCCTCTCTGTGCTCAGACCTGCTCACCTCGGAGCTGCTGCTGCTCACCCCTGAATGTGACCCTCCAGGGTGAAGCCGCCGGGCTCTGCTGGCTGTGGTGGCCCTGGGACGTGGTGACCACAGTGTGACAGCACCTGCAGCGTCCCACTGATCCCATGGGGCATCCGAAGGGTTGGGAGTGTGACAGGGAAACCGCAGCTGGTACCGGGCAGCTGAGATGGAGGTGCCCAGGCAGGTGTGTAAACGGATCTTTCTTTCTGGACAGTTAACACTTTTGCCTTACTGCACTGCTGTCAGCGCTTTGTGGGGGTGGAGCCGAGCCCAGCTCAGCCCCCGAGCTCAGCCCCAGGCAGGGCAGCCCCAGGGCACAGGGAGGGGCAAAGGGAACCTGGGCTGCTGAGCTGCCCGAGGGGCATGGCAAGGAGCATAATAAACTGTGCAAGTTTTGAACACAAGTTTTGATAACCTGTGGTTACGGGGGGGAGCCAGAGGGGGAGTGGGGGCTCTGGGAGGCACTGAGGGGTACGTGGAGGGGTCAGGAGGGGACTTGAAAGCAAATACAGGACTTGGGTGGGAAAGCAAGTGACCAAAAAGCAAACAGAGGTCTCTAAGACAGGCTGAAAACTCCCTGGCTTTAGGGAAGGCTGGATATGTACAGGTAACCCAACAGCAGTGTAAGAGAAAATAAGAGGGGGAGTTAGCTGGAGCTATGGGAGGGTGCCCATTTTATAGCCCCCTCTTCCCCCAAAGCCAAAAATAATTCACTATCAGGAGGGAGATGATGCCAGGAGGCAGCAGGACTGATCCAAGACCTGCAGGCAGCATCTCCATCCTCTGCAGCCCCATTCCTGGTCCCACCAGCCCCCCAGGCTGGGTCTGTCTGGATCTCCCAGGGGAGCAAGTCCCAAGCTGGACTCAGAAGTGCTCCTGAGGAAGGGGATGGGGTGAGTTCTGGGGCAGAGGAGGAGCAAGGGGCAGAGGCATGGCATCGGCTTGAGCAGGGAAGGGCAATGGGCAGGAGCATGGTCAAGGGTAGGGAAAGGAAAGGGCAGGAGCAGGAATGGGCAGGGCAGTGGTCAAGGACAGGGACAGAATGAGGGGCAGGGGGAAGGAAATGCGGGGATGAAGCAGGAGCAGGACAAGGCAGGGGCCACCAGGACCTCCTGACCCCCCCCCCAGAGCTTTACCAATGACCAAGTGCCAGCTGTTCCAGGCACCCTGAACCTCCTGCTGCCATCAAAACCTGGTGGGGACAACGGAGCTGGCACCCACCAGGACTGACAGGAGTGCAATGGGCCCGTGGAGATGAGGAGCAAAGCCAAGTTGCGTGCAGTAGGCCCAGGGCCTGGGCCAGGTATCACAGTCATCATGCACCGTCCAGGGCACACAGAAAGTCCTTCATTAGCACCATTGTGGTTGCACCCACAGGCTCACACCTGTACTGACTGGTTTGGGGGGTGGCATCAGTGGGAAGGGACTGCACCGGGGCACTGCACCTCCTCCCTGGTCTGCAGAAGCTTCTCTGGAGGCACCTGAGGTAGGAGGGTCCCTCAGCCAGGGGTTCCCTCCCTCATCTGCTGAGTCGTGGCTCTGGCCGGGGCTCTGGCCCTGCAGGATGTCAGCACAGGCTGGCTCTCCGTGTGCCGCTGTGGCCTCCAGGCAGGTGTTGGCAGTTGCTACAACCATTGCAACAGTCGTGTTGCAAAGAGCCACACATGCACGACCTGCCTGTTGATGCCAAAACAAGGGCTCCCATGCGGCCTCAGGGCTCCCTGCTCGGCTCCAGGAGACAGCTGGGGTACAGAGGAGGTGATGGCCGCCAGCCACAGAGCACTTGGCTGGAGGGGGATGCCGACCCACCCATCCCAGCACCACACAGGACCTGGCTCTGCAGGGGTCACCTCCTGGACCCCCATGAGCCAGGACAGGCTGTCGGCATCCGCGCCCATCCCCGTCACGCTCCGATGGCCGGGGAGGGGCCGGCGCGGTGAACATTAACCCCGGGGCGGTGTCTGGGGCTGCCCGGCTGAGCAGCTCCTGCCGCCCCGGCAGCACCTGCAATGAGGGGGCTCCGAGTCCGCTACCACCTCCTGGTAAGGCCATGATGAGGGCATCCCACACGGCAGTGTAGGAGCTGGCAGGGAGCTCGGAGGGAGTGCTGGGAGGCACCAGCCAGGCTGGGCGCACGGCTGGACAGATAGACAGGTCTGTCTTGGGGAGAGCAAGGGGCTGGGGAGGTGCAGAGGGTGATGGGCACCCTGTAGCCACTCTGCCCCCTGAGGATCCAGGCACCCTGGGGGCAGGAGATCCTCTGCCGCCCATTGTTGCCCTTGCTCATCCCTCTTGTCCCCTCAGGGTGATCGGCAGGGAATTGCTGCCCACCCGCCCTTGGGCATGGACTGCACCCACAGTCAAACCGAGCATGTGGCTGGGAGAGACACTTGTCACCAACTACCACCAAGACTAAGGCACATCCCTGAACCCATGCATACTTTGGGGTCAGCCTAGCTGTGGGCAAGGAGAGAAAAGGTCAGGCTTTGCCCCTTCTGCTGGAGCTGAAGTGGGACTGAAGTTTTTGTTGAAGCCTCCCCTGCCTTCTCTTCCTCTCCCTCCTCGGGTGGCCACAAACCCTTGAACTTCCGTGTGCAGCAGTGGCACAGCGTGGCAGAGTGCCAGGACGTGGCACGGTGTGCACAGTGGGGCTGTGGGGAGCAGAGGCTGCCAGGGGCAGGAGGTTCAGCCCAGTGGACTCTGGGCCAACTTTGCCCAGCCCCTGGACGCAGGATGGGAGACACCCCAAGCAGTGCACGGTCGGGAGATGCTGCTCCCTTGGGCCCACAGGGACGTTCATCTCCACCTGCCTGCAGCCTGACCAGGATGAGGAGCTGCCCATGGGATGTGAGGAGCCACCTGTGGGACGTGAGGAGCCACCTGTGGGATGTGAGGAGCCAGCCAGAGAGGGGCAGCTGGGCTGGCAGGGAGCCCCAGCAGCAGCCCCAGCCCTGGAGGAGCCATGCAGGCTGGTGCTGAGCACACCAAGCAGCATCCTGCAGGACAGGATGATCCATGAGGTGAGGGGCACTCTTGCCAACATGGGAACCCACCCTCATGTTCATCTCCCCTGTGCCATGCAGCCATGGGCACTGTCCTGCCAGGAACTGGTCCAGTGTGAGACCACAGGGGTAACAACTGACAATCCCCTGTCCCTTGGGAACAGTCACCTTAAGAGCACCTCAACGTCACCTCTTGGGGGTGTGGGAAGGATGCTTGGGGAGCCATGCCAGAAGGGTTTTCAGGGTGAGGATGCTTGGGGAAACATGCTAGGAGGCTTCTGGGTGGTTTGGGAGCTTGAGGAGACCCCTTGGGAGCAGGTATAGGAGGAGGGTGCTTGGGGACACCTCTCACAGGGTATTTGGATGCTTGATGAGATCTCCCAAGGGGATACTTGGGGCAGGGAGAGGATGCTCAGCAGCAGCCTGTCAGTCCCGACTGAGCCCCCTCTGCCCCAGCTGGGCTCCCACCTGCCCCCCCGGCTGACACAACAGCCCTGGTACCTGCAGTACTGCACCAGGCGGGATGGCTTCAGCCTGCGGACGCTGTACCGGAGCGGGGGCCAGCCGGGCTCCCCAGCCCTGCTGCTCATCAGGGACACGGAGGAGCAGGTACAGCCAGGCCCTCCCCGCCCCGCTGCCCCTGGCACTGGGGGCAGCAAACCTGGGGGCACCTGGGACCTGCCACATCCTGGCTGCTGGAGGCAGGACAGGGGGCACGTCCTGGCACTGGGGAGCCCCAATGAGCTCTGTGCCATGAGTGACCCCTTCTGCTCCCCCCAGGCCTTTGGTGTCTTCTCCTCCAGTGCCATTCACTGCAGCAGTGGCTTCTACGGGACAGGGGAGACCTTCCTCTTCTCCTTCTCGCCGGAGCTGAAGGTGGGAGCTGCAGGCCACCAGCTGTGGACCACCCCAGGGTGGGGGGGCTGGCGATGCCCCCGGGACTCAGCCATGCCTGGGGGGCCTGACAGTGCTGGGGAGGGGTCTGTGGGGTGGTGTGGTTGTGCTTGGCCAGATGTGGGTGCAGCAGCCAGGGGACCCTGTTGGCAGCAGGCCCCTGGGTTTGTCCTGGGCTGGGGGGAGAAGGCAAATCCCTGGGCAGGGGGGTCAGGGAAAGGGGCTCTGCCCAGCTGGGGGTCACCAGGGATCCTCTACACAACAGGGCAGTCACAGCCCAGCACTGGGTTGGGGGGATGTGGAGACAGCTCAGACACATCTGCCTGCACTGGTGGGGCTCTGTGTGTGTGATGGGACATCAGTGGTGGCAGCTGTCCCCTGGTAGGGCCCTCAGGGCTGCTGGGAGGGACGGACCAGCAGCAGAACGCAGCCCATAGGCTCGGCCAGGTCTTCCTCTGCAGAAGTGAGGCACTGCCGTGCTGAGCAGAGCCAGCTTGGCTCAGCAGCCCCAGCTGCTCCCCATAGGACAGGGACAGGAATGGGGACACTGTGCCCCAGCCCACGGTCCTGACTGACTACTGTGCCCATGCAGGTGTTCAGGTGGACGGGCAGGAACAACTTCTTCATGAAAGGGGATGTGAACCTGCTGATGGTCGGTGGGGGCAGGTAGGAGCTGCACCGGCAACTTCAGTCACCACTGGGCCACCAGCCCCGATGGCCATCGGAGCCCTGTGGAGCTGAGTCCGGGCACGTGATGGTAGTTTGAACCCCAAAAACCTGGCATAGGTTGTCCAGCAGCTTTGGCCACTTCATTACCTGGCTTTGCTCCCTGCCTGCTCTCAGCCCACTCCCTGCCTGCGGGCACGATGGCATCCCCGGTGCGGCCGCTTGTCCTGTCTCATCCCCACTTTGGGGGACAGGGGATGGGGACAGGAGGTGGCTGATCCCCCAGGAGGTGGTCTGGGAGGTCACCAGGCATGGAGGAGGCAGGAGGAGGGGCCCTCAGCCGGTGGCACATTCCCAGCGGCAGGTTTGGGCTGTGGCTGGACGGGGACCTGCACCGCGGCGGCAGCCACCGCTGCGACACCTTCGACAACGAGAGCCTCTCGGCCCGGGAGGAGTTCTGCGTCCGGGACCTGGAACTGTGGGGTCTGGCCTGACCCCACCAACCACACCTGGGGACAAAGGTGGCACCGGGGGGATGCTTTGACACCGACGTCTCGTGCACAGCTGTTCCCTGCCAGGACCCGCCGAGCCTGTGGGAGGGTGCCAGCCTCACCCCTGCCTCCCCTCCACCCAACATCCCCAGTTCACTGCCAGCAGCCGGGGGGGCAGCATGACGGGGACGGACTGCAGTGGGGTCTCAGCCCTGCAGCGCTGCTGCCACCGTGCCCAGGGTGGCTGCAGGAGCGGCCCCACGGCGGCCCCCAGAGCTGCCTGGCTGGGGTGGCAGAGCCGCCACGGAGGGGGACACGGCAGAGCCGGCACCCAGGGCAGAGGATGCAGGAGCAACCTTCGACAGTGGCACGACGCCGGCAGGACCGAGCACGCCCAGGAGCTGGCAGGGCTGGCAGACAGCACGGTCACCACTCCTCAATAAACGGGCAGAGCTGCACTCCCGGCCTCGTCCTTGCCCTGGAAGCAACGAATGCCACCGGGAAGGTGCCCGTGGTGGGGAGCAGGGCTGGAGCTGGTGCAGTCACAGCTGGTGCCCTGATCCAGCCCAGGCCGCAGCAAACAGGGGGGGTCAGCCTGGGACACGGCTTCAGGGGAGTGCAGGGACCCATCCCCCTCTGGCAGAGTCTACTCTCTCCATCCACCCCATCACCCCACAAGGACCAGGCTTCCAGGCTATGCTGGGCATCCCAGCCCAACCTGCTCCCACCAGGGAGGGGTGACAAGAACCCTTCTGGACCCCTTCCCACCCAGAGTTCCACGACCTCTTGCCTGGCTAACAGGGTTTAGCTTCTCACTCCTGAATGCTGGGCCAGCTCTCCTCCACCATCCCTGTCCCAGCAGCAGGACCAGCCCCCCGGGGATTCCAGGCAGTGGTGGTTCATGGGGTTCCATGGGAGGGCCTGCATGGTTTGACCACATTTGATGTATTTATTGTAGGAGCACAACCGGGTGCTGAGCTGAAGGATCACCCCATGACTTCACCTGGTGACCCCCTGATCTCACCTCAGCTCCTGCCCCTTAACCTGCAATTTTGTGAAGCCTGGATCCCACTGAACCCCAGGCTGCAGCACTTTACACAGCCCCCCACCCTCCCTACCCCACTTATACCTGTGCTGAACCTCACCAGACATTTCCCTGCTGATTCCTTCTCCCACAGCCCACCCATGCCACCTCTCCAGCAGCTGTGGCACACATCCACACAGGCTGTGGGAGATTCATGGAGACAGAAGATGAAGCCAGTGCAAGACTCAGGCAGACAACACACCAAACAGCCCTGTTTTAAGCATAACCCTTTCATACCCCCTTTCTCCCTACTCTGTTCCTCCCTCCTCCTCCACTTTCAGAATCCCACCAACCCCCTCCACCCTCCCCAGGTTATAGTCTGACCTGTGGTCAAGTTCCAGTTGCCTGTAGCCTCTTGAGAGGCCCCCAGACAGTGGGAGCAAGGAGGCTGGTCTTCCTCCCTTTCTGAATCCTCAAAGATAAAAAAAAAAAAAAAAAAAGACGTTTCTCCTGCTGCCCACACCCTTCCCAAGGCACTGTGCCACTGGTCAGGTCCAACCTCATCACCTCCCTTACCCTGTGACCACGAGGCTGGCTTGTTGTTCACAGCTCCTCTGACCAGGTGCCCTTAGGGGAGCAGACCCTGCACCCCTGTGCCCCTGAATGGCCTCGATACTCCAAGTGGCTCGTGCCTGGAGCCCACTGCAGCCCTTCAGGGCACCCAGCCAGGGGCACTCAAGCCCTGTGCCCTGGTGCCACCCAGCACTGCCCAGCACCATCGCCTGGGCCCTCACCCCCGTGTCCTCCTCACCCACCGAGGTGCCACGTCTGCCGCTGTGACACGGCCCACGAGGGCAGTCGGGGCCCAGAGCAGAGCCACAGAGTCACAACAGCCTCCCACACCCCAACACTGGCAGTCTGTGGCCTCCATCTTCAGCCCAGGGAGGAGAGGAGGAACATCTTCTCTGCCCTAGAGAAGCTGCTGCTGCTATGGCAAATGGTGGTGGCAGCAGAGAAGGCACCAAAGGTGCAAGCCATCACCAAACTGACTGGAGAAAGGGTCCAATAAATTACCTTGTCCACCCAGGAAGACACCAGGACCCATTCCAGGCCTCTCAGCACTTCCTAACCCCTCATCAACACACAGCCCCTGCCTTCATGCCCATTTCACATTTCTGCCAATAGTGCTGGGTAGGATCACAGGCTGGGTCAGGGTGGAGGGACCTCTGCCCAGTCCCTGCTCCCTCAGGGCCACCCAGAGCCGGCTACACCGGACAGCCCAGGTGGCTTTTGAGTCTCTCCATGGGTGGAGACTCCACCACCTCCCTGAGCACCTGCTCCAGCGCTCAGCCACCCTCACAGTGGAAAAGTGTGTCCTGATGCTCAGAGGGCCCCTCCTGTGTGTCACTTTGTGCCATGGCCTTTAGGTCTGTCCCTGGGCACTGATGAGCAGAGCCTGGCCCTGTCCTTTCTGCACCCTCCCTCCAGGTATTCATCCACACAGGTGAGATCCCCTGAGCCTGCTCTGCTCCAGGCTGGGCAGTCTCAGCTCTCTCAGCCTCTCCTCATGGCAGAGATGCTCCAGTCCCTCCATCACCATCATGGCCCTGTGCTGGACTCTCTCCAGTCTGTCCCAGTTTGTTGTACTGGGCAGCCCAGCTCCAGGCCCAGCACTCCAGGGGTGGCCTCAGTGGTGCAGAGCAGAGGGAAGGGTTCTCTACCTGCTGCCAGTACTCAGCCTAGGGCAGCCCATGACACCACTGGAGCACTCGGCTCAAGAGTGAAGTTGTTGCGCATTTGTTGGCTTGTGGCCCTTTCCTCCAGGCTGCCTGGCAGGTGGGTGCCCTCGGCACATCCTGGTGAAGGAGGGTGACCCTCCCCACGTTCAGGACTTTGCACTTCCCCTTGGTGACGATCTTCATGAGGTTCCTGTCAGCCCCTTTCTCCAGCCGGCTGAGATCCCTCTGGATGCAGCACATCCCTCTGGTGCACCAGCCATTCCTCCCCACCTGGTGTCACCTGCAAACTCGCTGAGGGTGGACCCTGTCCATCAGCAACACACCTCTGGGCCTGGACCCAGCACCAACCCCTGGGTACACCACTGTTACTGGCCTCCAACTAGACTTGTGCCAATGAGCCCACCCTCTGAGCCCAGCCCTTCAGCCAGGTTTGAGTTCACCTCCCTCACCCAAGACCCCCTTCAGCAGCCTGCTGAGGCTGACCAGCACCCACCGCTCTCCCTCAGCCTCCAGCCCAGCCATTTCAGCACAGGTGACCAGGCTGGTCAAGCACGACTTCACCTTCTCCCACACAACAGCTGGAGCAGCATCTGAAAAGCTTCCCTGGCCCCTGGAAGGATGCTGAGCCACTGACTGGCCTGCTGTCCCAGCTGTGGCCATGGCCATGTGGCTGCACCAGGACAGGATCCTCCTCTTGGCATAGCCCCTCCAGCCCTGCTGCACTGCGAGGAGACAGGAACCAAGAACCCACCTCTGCAAGAGGAAGGGTCTTCCACAGGAATACCTCTGGCTCTTTGTAACGGCACAGTAAGACCATTTTTAATAAAGTTCACACACTGCAATTCTTTAAAAGAATAGTAAAACCATCGTTTATAAATGTATTCTTCAGAGAGGCTCAGATGAACATGCTGGGAAAAGAAAAGCTCTCAGAACTTAACATTAAGTATAAATTTTCGGTTTAACATAAACAAAAGATCTTTCCCCGAGTATAAAGTGCACCTTTTGAAACAGATTCAAAACAAACCCAAGCAACAATAACAAAATTATATTATTCTGAACAATATTCGATTTTATGCAGACAAGGGACATAAAAGCCTTCACTCTATGATACTGTTTCTTGAAGCCTAAAAAGTTCTTTGAAAGCTTTTAAAGAGGCCACAAGCCCTTCTAACAGTTACCTGGTTCACCTGCAGATCTGCTAGAGAAAGGAACAATAGAGGTTACACCTTCATACACATGAGCACAGGCACATAAGAAAGCAGCAGAGTGTGCAATGTCTGGTTATTTCAACAAGCAAAATCTGAGTAAGTACATGGATGCTGATTCTACATCCCTCTGCCTAACGGCATCAGTTCCCCAAATAAAAAGGGCACAGCACCTTCCCACTGGGTTAGTTTTCAGAACCTACCCTGGCTACCCACCCCTGACTGCCCAAACTGAACACTCAGCGCTTCTCTCCCCATTCCAGATAACAACTCCACAGCGTGTTCTCATTTCTGAGCATTACTGAACCTTTCTGCATGTTCTTAGTTCTGAGGGCAGACTTTTTCGAGCTTTTAGGTTTCATTTAATGAAAGCAGCCTTCCTTTAGACCTGAGTAAAAGATGAGAGGAGAAAGGTCTTCCTCGGTCACTTGTTCAACGGGACAGACATCCAGCAACATTCACACCAGTGATGCCAGTGCAGAAAAACTGTCAGAACCCTCACAGGTCTGCGAGGGAGAGAAAAACGACACAGGGACAGCCATCAGGAGAACAAGGCAGGGATCCAAGAATGGAGGGATTCCTGAAGGGCCTGTCTGCCTAGTACAGTGTAATCCACAAAGAAGGTCACTTGGTGCAGGAGGGGCAGAGCCTTTGGCTGGCACTGCCCACCCGTGCCCAGCTGGACGGCTCAGCTCTCCTGCAACCACTCACACCGGGGACGGTTTTGAGCAGGTTTTGCAGTTCTGACAGTAAAAATATAACATTCAGTATATCTAAAATACACAATAAAACAGTAAAAGGCTGCATGGCACTGCAATGCATTGTTACTTCAGTAAAAACTGTGGTCATTCTTATAGCAAAAGTCCTGCATCTCCATCAGCTTTTTGAACATCAGAAAAATAATATCTGATTATCAAAAAACATTCCCTCTCCCCTATTTTTTTTTTTTTTTTTAAAAAGGAAATTTGTTTTGCTATTCTTGAACATGCCATCCTCGGTTATTTCTTCTTTACCTCACTATGTTTTCAGATGCTT